GGAGGGCATCCGCATCTGCCGCCAGGGCTTCCCCAACCGCATCCTCTTCCAGGAGTTCCGGCAGCGGTGAGCAGGCCGGCCCGTGGCGGGGCTGAGTGGCGCGCAGGTGTGGGAGCCCCCGCAGCTTCAGTACCCTCAAAGCTACTTCTGAAGTGGGGCCGTTGGGGACAGGGACACACTGAGTCCCTGGTGTCCTCCTCCGTGAATTGGGAGGAGAGTACCCACTCAGTTGCCCTCCATACAAAGCACGCGGAACGCTTAGGGACCTGGGCATGTCGTGCCTCTGTTGGGACCAGGGACTCTGAATCATGACTGCACTCACCCCAGCGTGTCGCAGCCCGCGCTTTAACACGGAAGCAGAACAGGCTGGAGCGGACACTCTCACAGTCTGATAGGCAAGGGCAACAAAAAGTGTGCTACCCCAAGCCACAGAGAGCGTGTCACCCCTTAAACACAGAAGCGCTGCGTGGAGCCCTGGAAACATTCTAGTAGCCACGTTTTAAAAAGTAAAAGCACCAGGCAAGACTGGCTTTAACACTCTTACCTAACCCGGTGCATCCAAAGTATGTTAACATGTGATCAATATGAAAAAAAAAAAAATTAGCAGTGGGGTATTTTGCAAAACTGCTTTCCTGGCCAGTTTAGGAAATCTAGTCTATGCGGCTAGAACGCTGTTCCTCTGCCCTCCCTGCCCACCACAGGTATGAGATCCTGACGCCCAACGCCATTCCCAAGGGCTTTATGGATGGGAAGCAGGCCTGTGAGAAGATGGTGAGTGTGCGGCAGCAGGGAGCCGTGCCCACCCACTTGCCCACATAGGGGCCCAGGCACAGGAGGGGGAACTGGGACCTCCCCTCCCCCACCTCCTGATCCACCCCCTCTTCTCCCCCCCATTGACCCCTCCATCCCTCACAGATCCAGGCCCTAGAATTGGACCCCAACCTCTACCGTGTGGGACAGAGCAAGATCTTCTTCCGGGCAGGGGTTCTGGCCCAGCTGGAAGAGGAACGGGACCTGAAGGTCACCGACATCATCGTATCCTTCCAGGCTGCTGCCCGGGGATACCTGGCTCGCAGGTGGGGGTCTTGCCATTCCTCAGGAACCTGTTGGCTGAGGGCAGGTCAGGGAGAGGTTGACCAGATGCCCCTAAGTGTGTGTGTGTGTGTGTGTGTGTGTGTGTGTGTGTGTGTGTATATATATATATATATGTGTGTGTGTGTGTGTGTGTATGTGTGTGTGGCGGGGGTGGATACAAAGGTGGAAGGACTCCAGGGAGTTGTGCCCTGGCTTCTTGGTCCCGTGGCCAAGTGCTGTTGAAGACAGTGAAGACAGCGGAGTGGCCCAGCCCTCCTGGGTTTGCATGGGACTTGATTTCCTAGGATGCAGGACTCTCAGGTTTGAAGCAGAGAAGGCCTGGGATAAAGGCCCTTGGTGCGGGGCCTGGCATGTGTTAGGATGCAGGAAGTTTGGGGGTGCCTCCTGCCCCCTTAAAGGTGGCTCAGAGAAGGCAGAGCATAGCAGAAGAGGGAATCCCAAACCCCAGGCTGGGGCCGCTGGGGAGCCAGGGAGGGCTGGGATCAGGAGGGCCAGCTCTGGAAGGAGGAAGATCCCTCTGAGGGCCTGCTGGGGTGGACACAGGGGGGAGGGTGGGGGAGGGGAGGGGGGAAGAGGGGCTAAGTCAGAAGGATGTCACCTGAACGGGGACTGGGGCTCTGGGCCAGGCAGAGAGAGCCGAGGACAGGAGGACTAAGGAGACCCACCTACAGCAGAACAGGCCGCACACCCTGGGCATTTAGGAATGGGCAGGCGGAAGGAGCTCCAGCCTCTTGCTAAAGGGACTCTCCATGGCCTATCCCTGCCCAGGGCCTTCCAGAGGCGCCAGCAGCAGCAGAGCGCCCTGAGGGTGATGCAGAGGAACTGTGCGGCCTACCTCAAGCTGAGGCACTGGCAGTGGTGGCGGCTCTTCATCAAGGTGAGGGCAGCCGGAGGGTGGGGGGCTGAGCGGCCCGATGACAGTGTCTACCTGGACAGTGACTTCCTCCATTCAAGCCTCAGGTTTCTGTATCTGTAGAATCCGTGCAAGCCTTGTTAACCAGGTTTTTTGTTTGTTTGTTTGTTTTGTTTTTTTTGTAATTGTGCATGAACAGAATGCCTTTATTTGTTTTTTATTTATATGTGATGCTGAGGATTGAACCCAGTGCCTCACACATGCTAGGCAAGGGCTGTGCCACTGAGCCACAACCCCGGCCCTACCCAGGATTTTTTAAGTAGCAAGTGACAAGAAAATCTGACTCAAGCCAACATGGTTAAAAGATACAGGGAAGCTGCAGTTACAGCTGGATCCAGGGCAGAAGGAGCCCACCTGAGCTTGTTGTTTAGGGTTTTCAATGAGATTTTAATCAGGTCCGGTGGGAAGATATCAAGCAGAGTTGTGTAAAACTGAATAGAAAACAAGAGAACCAAAATTGCCAGAGTGCATCCCACTTAGCAAGGCTGGAGCAGTTTGGTGAGACTCTGGTTGCAGTTACCGTGTGCAGACCCTGCACCTGTCCTTCCCACCTACATCAGGCAAAGTAAAGTGCATCTCCCACTCTGGACTTTGGGTTTAGGACACTGCACAGAGGAGCAGGGGCCACAGGCCACAGAGGATGACTTCAGGGGGAAAACAAATGTGTTAATGCACTTAGTGGGGCTTGCTATGTCCCTGTCAACGTTTTACACCCTTTAGAAGGGGTAACTTATTTCTTGATTTATTTTTGTACCAGGAATTGAACCCAGGGGCACTCAGCCACTGAGCCACATCCCCAGCCCCCTTTTGTATTTTAGTAGAGACAGGGTCTCACTGAGATGCTTAGGGCCTTGCTAAGTTGCAGGGCTCCTGCCTCAGTCTCCCGAGTTACCGGGATTACAGGGGTGCGCCACCGCGTGCGGCCTACAAGAGGATAATCAGAGCACCCTGTGAAGGAGGGGCCCTTAGATGGACGAGGAAGCAGGTGGGGGCTTCCCACAGCACCAGGAATGCTTAGCCCCTGGGCCTCCAAGCGGCCTCCCACCATGGGAGCCGCCATTCCATCACCCCTCCCCTCTCTCTAGGTGAAGCCACTGCTGCAGGTGACACGGCAGGACGAGGTGCTGCAGGCGCGGGCCCAGGAGCTGCAGAAAGTGCAAGAGCTGCAGCAACAGAGCGCCCGGGAAGTAGGGGAGCTCCA